ATATATATATATATATATATATATATATATAAAATATAATGTTATACTTTGAATAATTTTTATTATCGGTTGAAAAACAAAATTTTAGTAGAAAATAGGAGGATGAGTGAATAAATGAGTCACTAGTAGATTGAATTTGATTGATAGGATATTAGTTGGGTTGAATTATATTTCATTGAAACCCAAAAAAATGTGAAGAGTACTGTATGCTAAAATTTTGGGAGTATTGAAATTTCATACAAAGTTAAGGAGATTATAAAGACGGGAGCTGACAAATGCAATTTCAAGCAATGTTTTTTAACAGGAACCCTCAACCATCCTAATTAACGTACGATACAAATTGAAACTAGGTAGGAGAGTACACTCTTTTATTAACTTTATTCTAGATATTGATATACTAATTACTAAGTAAAAGAGTGAAGCCTAGCTTATATAGAGGCCATTGACAGTGAAGCCGCCATCAACACAAATGGTCTGTCCTGTTATGTAAGAGGCTGCAGGTAAGCACAGAAACGCCACCAACGAAGCCACCTCCTCTCCCTCTCCAAACCGTCCAAGAGGAGTTCGTGGAATGTAAGCATCAACAATTTTTTCCTCTTTCAGAAACTGCAAAGTGCAAGCAAATAAATAATCATAACATGCCCTAAAAAATATACAATAATATCTTATATATAAAATTAACTTATAAACGCCACTTATAACTCTATTTTAATACTAGTCAACTATAATAACATAACAGAATATCACCTCGGTAGCTGCAGGGGTTTTGATTACTCCCGGTGCAACGCAGTTAGTCCTTATGTTGTCTTTGGCCCATTCACATGCCAAATTTTTTGTCAGTTGGTTCATGGCTCCTGCATGTTCATTTGCATAAACACTTTAGTATTTTACATTTATCAGTTACTACTTACTTACTACCCTCACTAAACTCTTCCTTAATTACCTTTTGTTGCACTGTATACAGCGGATCCTAAATTTATTGATACCACACCACCTATGGAGGATATGAAAACGATGCTTGCAGCTTCGGAAGCTTTTAGGAGAGGATGTGCTAGCTGGCTTAGGTGGAAAGCAGATTGCAAATTCGTATTCACCACAAATGAGAAATCTTCCTCTGTGTAATCCAGCAGATCTTTCCATATGTTTGTTCCCACGTTGTTTACCTATATCCATACATAAATGTAAACCTATTTATAATATGATGATAAAATATAAAATATTCGTAATTAAAAAATATTCTTTTAAAAGGATGGAAAAGTAACTTAAATCTGATGGCATTCAAATTATAAATTACTCACAAGGATATTGAGTTTGCCATTAAACTCGGAGGAGATTCTAGTTATGAGATTCTCTCTGTCTGCAGGAGATGCCACGTCACAGACCGAACCAGTAACTTTGTATCCTTTTGTGGCCCATTCATGCAAGGATTCTTTGAGTTGAGTTTCGTTCCGAGAGCAAGTGTGTACAATGGCCCCAAGCTGTGCCAACTCCTCCACGATAGCATATCTATGAGAGGAAAAATTTGTGAGAAAACAAAACAAATCTCATGCATGACCAACTATTATTTTGTATAATTATTACTATATGATCGATACAACTTAACATGTTTGGCTTGCAATTTGTAGAAATTACCCAAAACAAGTTTCATGGTGAGAAACATGTCTGTTGTTGTTAATTGATAGTTGTGAAACAAGTAATTAATTTGAGTAAGAATTAACATTTAAAAAATGAAATGAATAAATGTGAAAGAAGAAGGAAATTAAGAAGGTAAAATCATGAGTGCAAAGATAGTAAGTAGTAACCCGATTCCTTTGGATCCACCGGTGACGAGAGCTGTCATCCCTTGTAAAGACCACCTGCTGCTAATGTTTGTTTGAGCCATTTCTCTTCAATCAAGGATCAACCTCTAAAATGTACGACAATAATATCTTCTGTGTAGGCTGCTTAAGCTTATAATTAACCTCTTTGCTTTTCCATGCTTTAAAACAAGTTGCTGTTGTTTTATTCATATCTTTCAATGAGGTGGACCCCGATTATCATGGTTGAAAATAAAAATTTCCCTTTACATTTCTTCTTTTTAGTTTTTACTTTACCTTTTCTTTTTTAAAAATTGGAAACAAAATGATAGGATAAAATACACTTACAATAATTTGTACAACTAACATACACAAGAAATACAAAAAAAAATATTAATCTTAAAGACAAAAAAATGTGAATATAGACGGGATGACAGTGTGATAGGATGCTTTTATATTTTAATAAGTGTAAACATATATATTAATAACTTCAAGATTATAAAAAAAATTAAAAATAAAATTATGTTATTAATTAATATAAATATCTAAGTTTAATTATTATTAAATTAAATTTAAATTTAGATGACATAAATCTTAACAACATCCCCTCAAAAAAAAAAATAGTAGCGACATATTTCTTTATTTTTTTTTTTAAGTTCAATTAAGATAGATGTGAAATCGCAGAAATGTATTAAGTATTAATTTGTTTATATAAGATTTTTCTTCCTTTGACATTGCAAAACGAAATTCGTTCTCTCTTTTAAAAATGTCAAGTTTAGAAAATAATTTTGTTAACAATTAATGAATTTACATATTGAGAGTAAAATCCATTGAAGGAATAGGAGATATTATGTTAGTGGAACTTATATAATTTTTTTTTT